AAAATTACATGAATCAAGTATTTATTTAAGATTTAAAATCAAGAAGAAGAAAACAAGTTCTCAAGAATATAAAACTAATCACTAATATTGTATGCCTAATAAACAACATTTGGTTGATTTCTGATGTATTCAATTAGTTTGTGTTTAAACATCGTTACTATCCTTGCATTTTTTATCATTTGTGGAAGTCTATTATAGGAATCTAAACCTTTGAAGAACAGAGCATGGCTATTTTTAAATACGTTATATTTATATGGAAATCAACCCTATTTCTAGTAGAATAATTATGGATGTTATGATTCAAAACAACAAATTCATTAAAATACTCAGGTTGGCCTTCCTGTGTTATCTTGAATATGAATTTCATAGTCATATAAAACAATCAGCTTACAACTGATAACCATTCCAGTGCATTCAGCATCAAAGCTATAGGTGTTGATTTATTACATCCCAGAATTACCCCCATCCATCCATTTTACATTTTTTGTAATTGAGATTTTTCATTCAAATTGAGCTGCAATAATCAAAATGTGGTTGAATGATGCAATTATAGCTGTTAAGGTGTGGTTCATTGAGTAGATTACAACTGAATAGACTTTATTATCTATTTGGTTATAACACTTATTTCTGATTAATAATATACAACATTACAACGCCTTCAACACCGAGGCCATATTCTATTTTCCTACTCCATCTACCAGTGGTACTTTGTACCAACTCTGACTTGTTACTTACAGAGCTCTGCCCTATGATACACTTGCCAATACACAATGGGCGTAGAATACATGTGACAAATCGGAGTGCAATATCTGTTTAAAATCTGTTTTTCCTTTAATCAGCTGTCGCACCCCTACGAACGACAACCCTCAGAAGTCGAAACTTGTGCGAGCTAAGGATTAACGAGGTCTTACCTTTAACGTGTGATTTCTAACACGGAATGTATCACAATACTCAACAATAGCAAGTAATTCGAGAGTTCATGGAAAGATGACTAAATATTGGATCTTAAATTGAAATCAATATGGAAATGATCAAAATAGTACTTATCATCTAATTATCTTTTGATTTTCATGGAATTAATTTCCTAGAAGCCTGACTGCATTATTCTTTCTCGATATGAACTGATAATGATACATGGAATATTAATTCATTTTTAACTTGTTAGAAGGATTCACTGAATTATTTATTAATTCATATGCAACAAAATTCTTGTAGTTTTTTTTGACTAAATCATTTTCATTTAGACTTTTGTCATTTCGATAGAGGAATAATTTGATAGGGTGTTCTGTGGTCGTACGTTGTACCGTACGCACATACCATGCGTTCCACTAATCCCGGTCGTTCCACGACCGTGGTCGTTGTGGTCGCAACGAAAACGTCACTCATAACGTCATTATGTTTGCTTAGGGCAAGCTCACAACGATCCGTCTGAAGAGGTGGTAGGTCAAAGTGGAAGTTGAGAATATTTCGGCGCAATTTTTGAAATAGGGCATTCGAAGCTTGAAAACGACGACAAGAAAAATCTTATTCAATTCAGAAAGAGAAATTCTAGTGGAAGCTATTATTTCTGGAGCCGATGCTGCTGGTACAAAAATAGATGTGCAATTAGACATAACATTTTCAAAATCTACAACGTAAAATGTGATAGAAAATAATGTACCGAAAATGCCTTTCATATTCTTCATCTGAATAACGATTCATTACGTATTCGAAAAACACTTTATTGTGAGATTTTCACTAAACAGTCATACAAAAACGCAACACGTGTGTTTCATTATACAAAAGCTTCTTCAGGCGTGTTCATACTATTAGAACATATTATTAGTATGAACACGCCTGAAGAAGCCATTGTATGGCAAAACACGTGTTGCGTTTTTGTAAAACTGTTTAGTGAAAATCTCACAATAAAATGTTTTTTGAATACATTATAAATGAAGTTAGCTTGCAATTATTGAAATAGATTGTTGAGGCTTATCCAACATTTTTGAAACTTCGAGTTTATTTTTTCAACCTCGCCATTTGTGATGATTACATGAACGCTCAAAACGCTCCATATTCCTTTCCACTTGACTATACGACAGTAACGCATGCAAGCAAGTGGAACGGGAATTACTGCGGCGTGAGCGTACCTAATCGTTATTAACGCTCAGTGGTCAATCGTACCATTTTTATGGTATAAGTAACATAATTTAGTGGCGACCCATTTCTTTGAGATAATTCGTATTGAATGATGGCAATATAATATCTGTGATACGACACTCACTTACAAAAGAAAAGAAAACTTCTGCTTTCAGTATTTTCATATACGAATATGTCGACTATTTCTATTCCGATTGTTGATATGGAGTCAAAAAATTCGATACTGAGTAGGTTTTAGCCCAGTAATAGTTATTTATTGATATACGAGTATGTGCCACATCTCTAAAGAATTGCCTAGAAAATGTGAGGACTCAAGTAACACTCCATTGTGAGAATTTCACAGTTTATGAAACCGCAATACGTGTTTCGCTATACAATAGCTTCGTCTGGCGTGTTCATACTAATAATATTTTCTAATAGTATGAAAACGCCTGAAGAAGCTTTTGTATAATGAAACATATGCTATGGTTTCGTGAACTGACCAGTGAAAATTTCACAAGTGTTATTTGAATACTTTTTTTTGAGTGTCGATCAATTCCATCACATATCATGTAGAAATGTTTATAATTTCATACCATACTATTTGCTATATTGGCATATTGGTATCATGAATTTAAGTAGCGAAGTTACGTTACCAACGCTGCACATAACAAATAACCTCTGAGCTTAGACTCTGAGGTTATGTAATGTCAGAAGTGTCATGTCGTAACAAAACATAACCTAAAACTTTAATTTCCATAAAATTCTATGTTTTTAAGTTGAAAAATACACCAAATTATCATATTTTTTACAAATGTTCAGACACATCATTAATGATGGTCTCCGTTATAGTTTTCTGGCATTGCCCAGTTTATTTGGAGATGATAGACTGACTAATGAAACTGAAACAGAACGAAAGGCAGATAAGGTTTCAGTTAAAGAAGAAACTGGATGGGACAGATTAGTACGGATGTATCAAGTCGAGTGAGTAACTGACCGTTTTTTAATTCCTTTCTCCAATATCTGAATCTTTCAGCGAATTCGGGAATATTAGTTATGAAGCGAACAGCATTCTACAAGTAATGGCAGGTAGTATTTTTGTTGGAGCAGCGTATGGTGGATTGGTTGGGAGTAGAGGAGCTTACCAGGAGTTCATGCAAAGCCAGAATGCTTTGAAATTTGAAAGTCACTTAGAGGCAAAGGTAAATTTCGAATTTATTATAACTAGTCAATTATTACTGTTTTCTTTTTCTTTCAGAAAATGTTGCAAAATAAAGTAACAATTGCTTTTGGAAAATCAGCGTTTAGGTGGAGTTGGAGGTTGGCACTGTTTTGTACATCTTTTGCGTAAGTTGGATCAAATATTTGTAGACACTGAATTGAAAACAATCTTTTTCATTTAAGCCTACACTTGTTGTCTTATTTGAAAGTTATTATTAAATATACATAATTCATTAAAGCATTGAGCAATGCATGTGTTCAAAACTAAATTGAGATATGTGAAATTACATAAGGAAAACATTTCTCCTACACCAGAACAAAACACTGTTAGCATCACCAGGAAATGATAAAGACTGTCTTATCACTACACATAATATACAAATGTTCGCAATTTTTTTCGGGATGATACTACATGATGTTAGGAATTCAGAACACTTTATTTTTAGTCAGACTCAATTAGTTTTTGAGATATAGCCTGTCAAAGTTTGTATGATACCATATGTTACCTTTTTTTAAGCAGCAATTCACATATTTTTTATTTAACACATCTTTTTCTATATTATCGCACCTTTTTCTATTCCTTTTCATTCACTTATTGCCAAGTTTCTTGAAATTAGATTGAAATTCCATAATTTGTCAGGTGCTTAGGTATATAACACAAATCACTTTTTGTAAATTACATGAAGTTTNATAAATATAATGACCTCTGAATTGAAATAAAAAGATCTACAGAGTTGAAAGAAAAAGAATGTTACACAAATTAATGAAAAATGTTACCATTTATTGAATAAATAGGAATACCTGATAAAATCTGAGATGACAATATTACTCAATACTACAGTAATTTAGAATTATGTGACTGAATAATATGAAGTGAAATCATAGGTAAACATATTGAAAAATGATGAATGTCAACATGATACCCCATGCCAAAAAATAAAGATATCATCGAAAGAGAAGAAATCAAATTATCAATAAAAAAGAAAAAATATCAACTGGAAGATTCCCACATTTTTTTGTATAAAAATGTAAAGAAAGTCAAAACGTTTCTTCTCAAAAATTTATCTCACCTAAAAATATACCCCTTTCAATTAAAAGAAGATTTCTATGGCTGGGATTTGATCAAATATGCAAATGAATGTCATTACGTACTGTCATCGATGACATGAGTAGATTTAACTCATTCGTGACAAAGTTGTAATTTCATGAACGAATTGAGTAATATTATCCAGATTTGATACTGAAGAACCGATAAGGAAAGTGTCTTATGGCAAAACATCAGATGTCTACCAGTGAGGATGACAGTGTTCCATGTAAGTGAAATTGTACCTCTTTCATTTACTACATTGCAGGGGTGGCAGACTTGATAGACCCAGGATCTACTGTTTACTGACGAAACCCTGTGCTATCTACCAATTGCATACTTCTTGAAATTTCATAAATTATATGTTACGATTTGATCTCCACAAAATTTATTTGAGAAACATATCACGACATGTTTCGCTAACACAGTAGCTTCTTCAACAGTGATTTGAATTCAAATCACTGTTGAAGAATCTACTATGTTAGCGAAACATGTCGAGAATCAATCAGAAAATTTCTAGAAATCTCAAATGAAACAGCAAAGTTCAGTTCACAATTATGCAGTATTTTTTATTTTATTGAGAGGGAAAACATAAAACTGAAAATTAGTCTTAGTAACTACTTATTTATGTTAGTGTGAGCAAGATTAGTAAAATCAGGTTTGTAGTTGCAAATTGCCAACCATAAAGAATCCAATGTGTGAGCTTCTGTCAAGCGAGAAAGGTTGTTATTTTTTGTTTGTTTTAAGTAGGAAAATGCTGACTCACATAAATATGTTGAACCAAAATACAAATGAAGTTGTTCAACGCATTTCTTTTTTGGATATTTCTCGTTTGAAACCAATGCCCAGAAATCTAGATCTGAGAATGCTTGCTTTTAAAAATATGTCGCAGCTTAAAATAATAATTTCATTTTAAAATATCATGTGGTCCAGATAGAAGGTATAAAACTCAACAGAACTCGAGAAATAACAGACATTGGTGTTACTTTCGATTATGAATTATCATTTAGATATATAACAAACAAAGCCTCAAAGCTGTATGGGTTTGTAGTTCGCAACACTAGGCAATTCAACAATATTACGTGCATCAAACATTTGTATATCACTCTTATTAGAAGCATTTTAGAATATGCTTCCATTATCTGGTGTCCTCAATATAATTGTCACAAGTATAGCATTGAAAGAGTTCAAAACACATTTCAGATATATATTCACTTCAAAAAAACAGGTAACTATGGCCTTGATATTTCCAAAGTAGTGCTATTTGAAAAGTACAACATACAAACCCTTGAGAAAAGAAGAGTATTTGTATACTTAATATACTTGTACAAGATGATACATAGTGAAGTGGATGATCTCTGACTTCTATCAAAAATCAATTATAACTTTGTCATTTTGTCTGTAAAGTTTGTAAATAAATAAATAATGTATCTGCAAATTTTTTAGCCATTTCATAAATATCACTATGCTCAATGGAATAATTAAACGAATAACTGATGAATTCCACCAACTTTCAATTTTTTTAAATATATAATAATAAATGGTCTTTATTTTTATCTTGGCGGAGTTTAGCTTACGCTATTCTACCACTCAACCAAGTCATCAAACTATTTTCATCGATATTCGTATTAACTCATTAAAATCGTTTGAGGAACAGTACAGTACAGAAATGGTAAATAAAAAGAGTGTATCCACCCAAAGAATTTGTTTTTAGGATTCAGTAGTTATTTGATAGTGTTTCGGGCATGTATCTGAATTGTTGTACTTGAGCTTGGAAAACTTTTGTGTAAATTGCAAAACGTTAACAAATCACAAATTTTATTTTCTATAACAAAGTTATTTTCTAAGAACCAATTAATACATAAATGCATGTACAGTGCATACAACAAATTAATATCAATAACTAATAAATTGGCTGAAAAGATCATAGGGTCAGAGAATTTTTTTTAGTGAAATTTGATTTAATTATTCAATATAGTTGCCTTCAAGATCGATATAACGATTATAGCAAGTCATACAATTTTTCAACACCACACACCACACAAATGAACTCAATGTTTCATAACACAAATTCTTAACATGAAAGTAATGGAGTATTATTATTGAGAAAAAAAAATGTTTTTTTTTTTTGTGTACAACTTACTTCTTGTTCAACATGAAGAATAGATATATGGGAAGGGATCCTCAATTGGCCACCAGAAATCATCCTCAACAACGTACTTTTTCCCAGGCCGTTCCTACCCACCAAACCATACCTCCTACCGAATGCCAAAACTATATCAGCTCCTTGAAGCAAAACTCTGAAAGTATTTTCACAATTTAATTTTAAATTTTTAGGGTTGTCAATAAGTACCTGTCCCCGTATGCTACATCAAAGTTCTCTATTCTGATATCCTGTGTCCTATTGTTTCCTTTAGCTTCTAATTTACTTTCTTTTTTACTGGTTACCTGCGAAGCAGAGGCGGTTTGTAGTTTTGGAGGTGCTATGGTTCTTACTTCTTTTGTTCTCTTGTCTTGTTTTTCTTGCAATTTAGCTTGGGCCTTTTCCAATTTCCTGGCATCAACTTTCTAAAATTAATATATGATAGAAAATAATGTACCTGAAATGAATTTTATATTCTTCATCTGAATAACGATTTATTATATTCTCATAATCAATAATACGTGGTCTAAGTTTTCGGTATTATTACCGAAAACTTTCATATACGAATATATCGACTATTTCTATTCCGATGGTTGATATGGAGTCAAAAAATTCAATACTGAGTAGGTTTTAGCCTAGCAATAGTTATTCATTGATAAACGAGTATGAAGCATGACAGTGAATCATGTAAAGAATTACCTAGAAAAGTAACACTTCATTGTGAGATTTTCACAGTTTATGAAACCGTAACACGTGTTTCGCTTTACAATAGCTTCTTCGGACGTGTTCATATTAATAATATGTTCTAATAGTTTGAACACGCCTGAAGAAGCTTTTGTATAATCAAACACATTGATATTGATATTGATATATTGAAGTACAGTTTATATATTTACATGTAATATATCGTGTTTTTCAAAAGTCTCAGATCCAGTAACTTGGCCTAGATATGTTTATCTGTTCTGCCATGTACTAGATCTATAGACTTTCTAAAAAAGTGTACATTTTATGATTAGTCTAACCTACCATCGAACGTGAGTCACGCTGTATATTCCAGTTATGGAGCTTCGAAGTAATTGATGAATGTTTCAGGTGAATATGATTTTGAAAGTCATTTATTTTGTTAAANTATTCACGGATTTTCGCGATTTTTTCTGGGATGATACTAAATGATAGTAGGAATTCAGAACAATTTTTATTTTTTGTCGGACTCAATTAGTTTTTGAGATATAGCCTATCAAAGTTTGTATGATGCAATATTTTACCTTTTTTTTTAAGCAGCAATTCACATATATTTTATTTAACACATCTTTTTCTATATTATCGCACCTTTTTCTATCCCTTTTCATTCACTTTCAGCCAAGTTTATTGAAATTAGATTGAAATTCCATAATTTGTCAGGTGCTTAGTTTCCCTATGGGAGTTGTATTCTCTACCAACTACAAATTATGTTTTTCAATAATTACTTAGAAACTTATGACGTTTTTGAATTTTTGTAACTTTTATTTGATTATATTTATACCTAAAATGAGTATAATAAATCACATGGATGAATAGAATATTGAAAAATATTGATGTGCGCATTTGTTGAATTGTTGATGCCTAATTGCGTACGTTTATCTGTCAGGCGGTTGTCTTTTTGTGGTTAGCTGTTCACTTTCTAAATTTCAATATTTGAAATGTAATTTGTGAAAAAATAAAATATTACCTACTCAATGGGATACTCACGGATTTTCGCGACTTTTTTGGGAGATACTACATGATGGTAGGACTTCAGAACACTTTTTTCAGTCGGAGTCAATTAGTTTTCGAGATATAGCCTGTCAAAGTTTGTTTGAAGTCGATTGACAATGTTTCATAATGAATTTCATTAGTTCGGACTTCCATTGTCTGATATCATATAAAATGATTTGACATTCCTGAAAGAACTAATAAAAAAGAAGAATTAAAAATGAAAAGCTGGAAATAAAAATTATATTAAGCAAAAAAAACCTGAAATGAAGTGATAGGGAAATAAAATACAAGTAAAAATAGAACAATTGAACAAAAAATAAAATTAAAAAAATTAAAAGTTAGAGATTCCAAGTCAAGTTACTTCACGACGTTTTTTGAAGACGATTGTGGATACTAACAATCGAAACGTCTATATTTCTACAACAAAAAGGAACAGCAAAAATAGAATTTGAATTTTTTTTTTTCGCATTTCTTTGGAACAAAAATATCTAAGAGTCAATTTTTTGGTATCGTTCGGTAGTGTCCGAAAAAGTAAAAGCTATTTTTTATCTCTTACCATTCATTTTATCCTCATGCATAGATACAAATATTAATTGATGATTTTGATAAAGGGCCATATCAACAACCATTCAAGTATACAGAGGAAAATACGGTATTATGGAATATGTAGCTGCAGGTAGTTTAACAGGGACTTTGTATAAATTCAACATGGGCCCTCGAGGTTGGCTTGTAGGAGGCGGATTAGGTAAAGAACATTTTGGTTTTCTATGAATGACTTTTTTAACACAGGAATTTTTCTTTCAGGTTCTGTTTTGGGATTATTCTGTGGTGGAATGACCTTAGCAATATTGAAGATAACTGGTGTATCTATGGAAGAAGCACGATATTGGCAGTATCAGTGGAAGCAATATCGATCGGAATATTTCAGAAAAGGCATGGCCGATTATTTGGAGAAAGAAGATTATGCTGTAGTTAAATTACATAATGATAGTGTAGGCGAAGCTGGCAAAGATATTGCTAATTTAGATAAGGAACCAGCGAGCAAAAATACTAAATAGTAATTTTAAGACAATAAATTATTTATAGTATTACTTTTTTCAGTTTCTTTTTTTTTCAATGTTTTCAGACCCTAAACAAACGTCTCTTCATTTGGATGAGTCAATAAAAAAAGAAGAATTTCAAGAACGAGGTTTTAATGATGAACGAGAACGGGAATGTTTCCTACTTATTTATCAAGCCAAATCTAAGATTACAATGAATGTTTGTTACGATCCAAGGCCTC